TTCCGCACAGCGATTCTGCGGTGCCAGGATCATCACGGGGTGTGCGCTTACTACAAGGCAAATATCCCCCCGTATTGCCTTTAGCAGACTGTTAGAGCAAGTGCTGTTAGCGAGTAGCAGCACCTATGAAGGCTGGCACAGCACGCGAGGAATGTGGGTTGCCAGCACCACGCCCGGCCGCCTTTGTCTCCCCAGTGGCGATGTTTACACAGTCGCTGCACCAGGTACTCATTTGAGGCTGAGTTGACCTCGGGGAGGCCCAGAACCGGTTCAGAAAATCGTCTCTGGTGCTGGCCGTGAGCGAGAATCGAACCCGGGTCGCCAGGTTCCTAGCGCAAACCGCTGCCCACCGCTCCCCACACACACGCACGTGCACACACCATCAACACCAATACCCAAGACGTGGCGGCGACGTCACCACGGCGCCTGTGCCAGGCCAGGTGCACTTTGAGGCCACGTGCTTACCACACACACATACACGATACACGCACGTCGTGCTAAAAGTTGACCTGATGCCAATTCGCGTTGAATGCCTCGCTTAAGACGACGCGTCCTTGTTTTTGTTGTTGTTGATGCTGCTGCTGTTGTTACTACCGTCACTGGTGACTGGGCTGAGGCCGTCGATTCGTAACTATCAAGCTCCGTACCCCGAGTTCCGTACCCCGAGCTACGTACCCCGAGTTACGTACCCGAGCTCCGTACCCCGAGTTCCGTACCCCGAGGTAATGTACCCCGAGTTCCGTACCCCGAGCTACGTACCACGAGTTCCGTACCCCGAGTTATGTACCACGAGTCCCATACCCCGAGTTCCGTACCACGAGTTCCGTACCCCGAGTTACGTACCCCTGAGCTACGTACCCCGAGTTATGTACCCCGAGTCCCGTACCCCGAGTTATGTACCCCGAGTTCCGTACCCCGAGTTCCGTACCCCGAATTCCGTACCGCGAGCTCCGAAAGGGGGCACACGAGGGGAGTGAACCAGGGTGACAGAATTCGGTCGGGAATCTGTCACTGTGCGTGTGTGTGGGCTGTCGCGCAAATTTGACGGCCCACACACAAAAACGCGCACCCTTACACTTCCGCGCAACAATCTATAATTAACATTTTCACTTATTTCTTTCTTTGAAATCACCATTATTCAGCCATTCTCAAGAGTCCCCACGGACGCGCGCGTGCGGCACTTCATCATTATTAACCACATTTGTGCCGCGTGCCTTCACGAGGGAATCACAAATCCAGCGATATCACCGTGTCTCGCGCTGCAGGCACGGAAGGAAGCCAGCCATCTCGTGTGCAACAACCATATTCCACGACCACAGCAAGACAACAACAACAACAATAGTCCAAGACGACAACAACAATAACAGCAACCGTCCAAGACCACACCAAGACAACAACAATAGTCCAAGACCACAGCAAGACAACAACAACAACAACAATAGTCCACGACCACAGCAAGACAACAACAACAACAATAGTCCAAGACGACAACAACAATAACAACAACCGTCCAAGACCACACCAAGACAACAAAATAGTTCAGCGGGTGGTGCGATGCACCCCCAGGTATAAGAAGAAGAATTAGAGGCACCACTGCCCTAGAGCCATTGGGTCGGCAAAACCGAAATAACAAGAAGATGCATTCTTTTTTCGAATTCGGTAGAGAACTCAATATTTGGAGACCACGTGGACACGATGATCCGCTCCTTAATGTTCTAGAGCAGCGTCTTTCATTGCAAAGCCCCTGGGGGGGGGGGCACTGGCTCCCCCCTCCCCCAGTGACCTTTAGTGCGGGCCCCTGACGTGCATTCTCCCAGACAATCCATAAAAAGTGAAAACACCACCCCAGCATCATCGTCATCATCGTCATCATCGTGCCGCTAGTCAAAACCCAACAATGGTTTCAAAATGAGTGGCCAGCCCTCGCTCACACTGATTATGTCTCATCGGCGAATGTGGAACCCCCCCCTCCCCCCCAAACTCCTCCTCTTAAATTGAACGAAGAACGCCGCTGTGGAGTCTTATCACAGGGTTAATCAAATCTTTCTGGCGGTGGTGGCGGTCGTGGTGATGGTGGCGGTGATGGCGGCGGTGATGGAGACAAAAGAGGGCAGTGGAGCGACGCTCACAAGAACGAACGGAGCGCCAGGCGGCTAAAGTCAAGCAAGATGGCAAAATAGGGGGTACAGCTGATGGTGCATCTACCGGTCATCCCAGTCAGCCAACCCATGGCACCTGCAGTGTCTGTCCCAAGACCTCCTGCACCTAGCCTGGCACAGTAGGGGGGTACAGCTGGTGGTGGTGCATCTACCGGTCATCCCAGTCAGCCAACCCATGGCACCTGCAGTGTCTGTCCCAAGACCTCCTGCACCTAGCCTGGCACAGTAGGGGGGTACAGCTGCTGGTGGTGCATCTACCGGTCATCCCAGTCAGCCAACCCATGGCACCTGCAGTGTCTGTCCCAAGACCTCCTGCACCTAGCCTGGCACAGTAGGGGGGTACAGCTGCTGGTGGTGCATCTACCGGTCATCCCAGTCAGCCAACCCGTGGCACCTGCAGTGTCTGTCCCGAGACCTCCTGCACCTAGCCTAGCACAGTAGGGGGGTACAGCTGGTGGTGGTGCATCTACCGGTCATCCCAGTCAGCCAACCCGTGGCACCTGCAGTGTCTGTCCCGAGACCTCCTGCACCTAGCCTGGCACAGTAGGGGGGTACAGCTGGTGGTGGTGCATCTACCGGTCATCCCAGTCAGCCAACCCATGGCACCTGCAGTGTCTGTCCCGAGACCTCCTCCTGCCAGCGAGCCTTCGACACTCCACGTGTCCTCAAAGTGCACCTGGCCTGGCACAGGCGCCGTGGTGAAGTCACCGTCACTTAGTGGCGAATGGAGGGTTTTGGTATTGGGGAGCGGTGGTGTAACGATTCGATTCCCGTTCATGGCTAACACCAGTGACGATTATCTGAACCGGTCCTGAGCTTCCCATAGGTCGACTCAACCTCAAATCAGTATCGAGTGCGATGTGCAATTACATCACCACTAGGGGAGACAAAGGTGGTCGGGCGTGGTGCTGGCCACCCACCCCCTCGTGTGCCACAGTGCCGCCGGCCTTCATAGGTGCCACTCTCTGAGCAGCACTTGCCCCTACAGTCTGTTCCAGGCTACACGGGGGATCTTTGTCTGTGCCTTTGTTTGTGCACGTCTTGGCGAAGCGTGGTTCTGAACAGCGGCCTCAGACACCCGCGCGTTTCCGCTTGTCACATCCCATCGGTGCCCTGGCAGCTGTGCCCAAGCTACATGGAAAGAGACAGGGGGCAGCCGTGCCAACCTTGCACGCGTGTGTGCGTCTGTCTTTGTGCTGGGCCTCTCCTAGGTCGACTCAGCCTCAAATCAGTACCGTACGTACGTTGAACTTCTTTCGCACCGTACGTAGCCAATCAGAGGTGCTCGCTCAACAGCGTTTGCCCCCCCCCCCCCCAACGGCCTGCTGAAGGCTATTCGGGGGAATCTTAGTTTTGTTGTTGTTGTTACATCTCGCAAATCTATACGGGCACACAAAGGAGACAACTCCGCGTGTAGACTCTGAGACAGAGACGGGCGGGGGGGGGTTGCACTTAGCGAGCACCTATTCACTCGAGCCGGCACGGCACACTGCGGATGGAAGTGGTCTGGAGCGCCCGTGGCGTTAGCACGATGCGCAGCCCTTCTGCACCGCGGTTTGAGGGGGTGCTGCGGAGATCCGGGCACCCCCCCACCCTCCCACCCCATTGCCTCCGCCAGCCATCACCTCCCGTAGCGGCGCAGCTATCGAATGTGCAGGCGGTGCGACTGCGCCGGGGATACTGAGTGGCCTGGGCAGGGGGCCGGAATTCCAAAATAACAAGAAAGGATTTTTTTTTCTTCTGTTCGTTGTTGTTGAGAATTTCAAGAGCCACACTGCACCCCTTACAGCAGGGGTGGGGAACGTCCGGCTCGCGGGCCGTACGAGGCCCGGGAAATCATTTGGTGTGGCCCTGCCAATTTGGTGTGGCCCTGCCAATTTGGTGTGGCCCTGCCAATTTGGTGTGGCCCTGCCAATTTAGTGTGGCCCTGCCAATTTGGTGTGGCCCTGCCAAGGCAACCGCAGGCGGGACTCGAAATTCAATAAATCTCTAGGAGCAAACCTGGAAAAGCAGTTGCGAGTAGCAGCAACATCATCATCAATACCAGCAGCTAACATCACACGCCTCGCCAAAGAGAAGCAGTTCCAGCCATCGCATTAGGGGCGAGTTAATGAAATGTTTGACCAAATATAACGGGCTAATTTTAAAGTTGATCATTTTGTATGTCCCGCGAATGATGTTACAAGTATCCAAACGGCACTTGGCAGAGAAAAGTTTCCCCGCCCCTGACTTGAAGAGCCACCAGGAGCGGCTCCTGAGCCGCAGGGTTGCCGATCCCCTGGACCAGGTGCTCGTTTTAGGCCAAATACGACTAGGCAGAGGTCGCAAACGGGTTTTGATTCCTACCCGTACCCGCACCCGGCCGCACCAGGGTCGAAAACGGGTACTCGTACCCTACCCGATACCCGGCTACCCGTACCCGGCCGGGTATGGGTAGGGTACGGGTACGGGTACCCGATTGCGACCTCTGGGATGAAGCCATGTTCCAGGCGCAGGTGGGTTGATTCTAGGAACTTGAATTGTGAGAAGAGACAAGACGTTGGGAAATGAGTGACAAACGGTTACTCACCAGTGACTCACGGCCTACCCGTACCCGGCCGCACCAGGGTCGAAAACGGGTACCCGGCTACCCGTACCCGGCCGGGTACGGGTAGCCGGGTATCGGGTAGGGTACGGGTATCGGGTACCCGGTTGCGACCTCTGCGACTAGGTGATGGACATCCAGGCCAGGTACGGAGAGCAATTGCCGCTCACTGCTTTTAGAAAGCGTTCGGGGCAGATACATCCCCCCGTCTGAACCCCCCCCCCCTCGCCCCCCGGGGGATGTACGTGGTATCTCACCTCTATGTGTCGAACCTGGTTCTTGTTGAGTTGCAGGATCTCCAGGTGTCTCAGGTGTTTGAAGCTGTCCACTCGAATCACCTGCACAGCCCGCAGAGACCGTCATACCACGCACACACACATACACAATAAAGACAAAGATCCCCTGTGTGGCCTTTCACACACTGTTGGGGCAAGTGCTGTTAGCGAGCACCTATGAAGGCCGGCACGGCAAACGGGAGAGCGGGTGGCCAGCACCATGCACGCCCGGCCGCCTTTGTCTCCCGCGTGGCGATGTTTACACACCGCACCAGGTACACATTTGAGCTCCATTCATGCACACACACAACAGCTCCCCCCCCACACACACCAAGTCTGTTATCCTTCCCCGGCACCTCCGATAATTAGCGAGGTTGGCTACGTACTGTGCGAAAGAAGTTCAACATATACACACAGACAATCGGACTATACAGCAGTCGGTACATCACGTGCACAGAGACAAGCATATTCCAATATATTTTTGTTGTAAAAAAAAAGAACGCCTTCTTCCAAGCCAGACTGATGAATTCACAGCCATCAGCTCGATTGAAATAATTATTCTCCATCTCAAAGAATTTCTCCCCACCCACACCTCCTAATTACTCTTTTTCCCATGAAGAAGAGTTGGGTTTTGACACACAACGCTTCCTTCTTGTCACAGCTGACTCTGTGTGGGCCTTCTCTCACTTGACACAGCAATCGTGCTGTGACGGTTCCACCTGAAGACGGAAGCTTGTGTTGCCTCCGAAACGTCGTGATTTTTATTTTATTTTTATTTTACTTTATAAAAAAAAAATGTACCTACGTGACTTTACCGAAAAAACCTAAGAATATGAATCCTTGCAGTCACGAAAGCTTCACATCTAGAATCTGTGTGGGCCACCCCCCTACTCACCACCCGTGGTGCAGGCGGCCTGTCACAGCAGGCGTCTGGCAGTCCGCGAGGTATTTCACGCGCGTGCCCATCTCTTCGTCCGCGTTCGCCCTGTGCTGCCAACGTAACGCATTTTCCCCACGACGCGATATTTCGTCACCCTCAGGTGCCAATTTCGGCCTGTAGATCTCCAATCGCTGTTGTCGTACGCACGTATATATATGTCAGAATATTTATTGGAGAAATCCGATGAGCTATGAAGCCCTTTTAATCGCAGATGTTCAGTCGAGGCACGGGGTCAGCACGTTACAACGTCAAACACAATGCGCGAACACGATCGGAGTGCAAAGTCGAGAAGGAACGGTATACAAATCACACAAAAACATACAAACAAAACTAAACCATCCCCATCCTAACAAGGAAAAGCCCCGTGAGGTGTGAACTCATTTTTTTCAGAAGTGAACCTAGCCATCACAAGCGACAGCTCAACAAAGGGGCTCATGATCCTAGATTTGAAGATTTCGTGACTGCAAGGATTCATACTCTTCGGTTTTGTCGGTAAAGTCACGTAGGTAATAAATAAAAATTAATGAAAGTAAAATAAAAAATCACGACGTTTCGGAGGCAACACAAGCTTCCGTCTTCAGGTGGAATGGTCACAGCACGATAGCTGTATCAAGTAAAGAGAAATTCCAAGAGACCCGACCTTGTATATATACTGGTTGAGGGGATAGGAGCCAGGGTAGGCTCCTGGATCGGAGTTTTTTTTATTATGGTAAGGTAAGGTTTACCATAATAATTTCTTTTTACTTGATACAGCAATCGTGCTGTGACGGTTCCACCTGAAGACGGAAGCTTGTGTTGCCTCCGAAACGTCGGGATTTTTAAATTATTTTTTTATACAACTTTTATTAATTTTATTTTTTACCTACGTGACCTAAGAGTATGGCTTATGATCATCACGTGGAGATGTTACAGCAGTGAGGTTGAGAATCGGAGTGGCGTCAAGGATCGAGCTGCTATCTCGAGATTGCCGGGTGCTGCAGAGCGAGGTTGGAATATGACGCTTCTGTCTGGTCGCGGTCACGAGGCGTCAGATCCAGCAGGGGGCACGCGCCCAATCAATGCGATGACACGTGAGGTTCAGGTCAAAGGTCACAACAGGGGTCCACACAATGGATCATATATTTCGATTTAAAGCTTTCGTGACTGCAGGGATTCATCTTCTTGGTTCTTTCGGTAAAGTCACGTAGAAGGGAAATAATAAAATAATACAAATAAAACATATACGCTCCAAGCGTGGTGGTGTTTCATTCAGACGCTGTTTTCCCGACAGACCTGTTCTTCACCTGAGGACGGCTGCTTGCGTTGTGGCCCGAAACGTCGTGAGAATTATTTAATAATGTTTTATTTTTATTATTTTATTATTTCCCTTCTACGTGACTTTACCGAAAGAGCCAAGAAGAACAATGGATCATCTTTAAATACTTCAGAGACCACGGGATTCCACTGCCGTGATTGAGTTCTCAATAAACGTTGTACGGCAAACATTACTCAAGTGGAGGCTGTGATACTGGCCAGGCAAATGCGACTATGTGCGTGTGTACGGTGTATATAAACGATTTAAAAACACTACTTTTTATTTTTCGATTTAAATCTTTCGTGACTGCAGGGATTCATCTCCTTGGTTTTTTCGGTAAAGTCACGTAAGAAGGGAAGTAATAAAATAATAAAAATTAAACATAATAAAATAATTCTCACGACGTTTCGGCCACAACGCAAGCTGAGGACGGCTGCTTGCGTTGTGGCCGAAAAGTCGTGAGATTTATTTTATTATGTTTAATTTTTATTATTTTATTACTTCCCTTCTACGTGACTTTACCGAAAGAACCAAGAAGACTACTTTTTCTTTTACCAGCCAAGGCCCGCTGAGCTATACGGCTGTTTTTCAGAAGCCACCTGGTTATCGCAAACGATAGCTCAACGAAGTGGCTTGTCACTTGGAAATGTATAGCAGCAGCCAAAATACTCCAAAAGCGTGATTTGGATTCTAAATGTGGAAGGTAAAAAAAAAACGGAGCACCCGGAGAAAAGCCCACGCAACCACGGGGAGAGAAACAGAGAGAGAGATGCAAACTCCACATATACAACAGGCGTCAGAGTCAGTATGGAACCAATGGCCTCACTGCATACCCGGCGAGGTAGTTAACATCTCTTAGCCACTGTGGCTCTGTAATACGATAAAGCAGTACACTCGACAAAATCACCGATCAGAGATTTGCCCCCCATGCATGGTCATTGCGGGTCGTTAAGACGAGATTAATTGCATCCATTCCGCTCAGTCCAGCTGCAATAAACAAATATACCGGGGTTAATCATAACCTAAGGGTTAATCGCTGCGTCGATTAAATTGCCAATCGATCCATGGATTGAGTAATGATGTGGCAGGAACGCCCCCCCCCCCACGCCCCTTCATCTGGTTGACTTCTCTCAGCGAGATCGGTGATTCCGTCACAGTCCGCTTAGATTGTGACCACAGCGCTGATGGGTGATTTTGCGGGTGTACGATTTTATCGTATTACAGCGCCCATGTACGTAGATGTGGGAGAATTTTGATGGATATCATTGACACCCACCCCCCCCCCTCCCTCGTCCACCCCTCGCCAGAGGTCGCAAACGGGTTTTGATTCCTTACCCGTACCCGTACCCGGCCCCACCAGGGTCGAAAACGGGTACCCGTACACCTGTACCCGGCCAGGTACAGGTAGCCGGGTATGGGGTAGGGTACGGGTATCGGGTTCCCGGTTGCGACCTCTGGGATGAAGCCATGTTGCAGGCGTGGGTGGGTTGATTCTAGGAACTTGAATTGTGAGAAGAGACAAGACGTTGGGAAATGAGTGACAAACGGTGACTCACCAGTGACTCACGGCCTTCTCACTCATTGGTTGGGGTGAGTCAGGTGCGGCTATCCTTACCCGTACCCGGCCGCACCAGGGTCGCAAACGGGTACCCGTACCCGGCCGGGTACGAGTAGCCGGGTATCGGGTACCCGATTGCGACCTCTGCCCCTCGCCCCCCTTAGACTTCATTCGTACATTACTGCTGCACTGCAGGAGGAAGTCGGCCATCCGTGCAGCCTCAACGCTAAACCCACAGACAAGCCCGGAGCCCCTCCGGCATCCAATCGCAAGCCGCGAGGAGCTCAATGAACCCCCCCCCCGCCCCCCATTCTACATCACGATGCCTGACGCAATTCAGAGGGATAGTTGCAGAATCGGGGGGGAGGGTTAAAAATTCCTTACGGCAGTAAACTGCTCCGTAGCTATGATTTGACAGGTGAATGAATAGGGTTTTTTCTTTTTTACAGAAAGCAGATTTCAATTGCAACTTTTTGCCACAGATCGATATGAATATACATACACACGTAGTTATACCTAGTCTAATAATGAAAGGTAACAATTGAGCAATTGATTTCTGGGTTGCTTCTTTGATAATAATTGGGCAAAAAGTTGGGCATCGCATCTATCACTCGCTGGGCCTCAAAAGTGCTCCATGTGTAGCTTTTCTCTGTAGGTGGACAAAGACAAAGATTCCCCATGTAGCCTTAACGGATTATTGAAGCAAGTGCTGTTAGCGAGCACCTTTCAAATAAACTATTTTACCAGGTAAGGCCCACTGAGCTATATAGCTATTTTTCAGTGGCTACCTGGCTATCACAAATGATAGCCCAACGAAGTGGCTTATCAATGTGGCCAAATACTCAAAACGCATGTTTATAAATGTGGAGGGAAAACCTGGAGGACCTGGAGAAAAATTCACGCGACCACAGCGAGAACATGCAAACTCCAAATATCTAGAAGTCAGGGTCGGGATCGAACCCACGACCGCCTGTATACCAGGCGAGGGAAATAACATCTCCCCACTTTGGCAGATGAAGGCCGGCATGGCACGCGAGGAGGTGGATGGCCAGCACCACGCCCGGCCGCCTTTGTCTCCCCAGTGGTGATGTTTACACACCACTGAACCAGGTACTCCATTGCAGGTGAGTGGGCCTAGAGGAGGCCCAGGACTGGTTTAAATAATCGTCACTTGTGTTGGCCGTGAGCGGGAATCAAACTCGGGGTTTCACAGGCTGGAGATATAGCACATGTATTTCCCTACAACCACAAAAGTCCCGCTGTCCCATACTTTCAGCATAAAATTAAAGGCTAACGGCTTGTCCTCCTCTAGAAACCACAGATCAATGTTTGACTTTCACATCTTTGCAGTTTTTGCCAATACACTTTTTTTATTTTTTGGTGTACACATATGCTGCCGAGTCAATGAAACTATTCATTGCACATCCCAAGAGTCTCTGCAGAAATGTCCCAGGACGTCCTGCACGGCTGCCTTGTCGATTTCCCCACTCCCCATGCACCCCACGCCCCCCCCCCCCCCGTGCCCCAGCACCCCACCGCAGGAAGACACCACTGGTATTAGACTTTATGCTCTACACAAAGACAATGCGCACATTATCAAAGCATGTTTGATTGCGATGTTTCACCGCCAGCACGCGTGGTTAATTCAGACTCGATCATGATGTCTGTAAGAATTTTTTTTAGGGTTAGATCGCGTAAATATAAATGTGTCGTTAAACCCGCCACCACCTGACACAGCCAATTAGTAAGGTTTGTCACGTAAACTGAACATGCCAATTGGTTACTAGTTCAGCACACCGGTGTGTTGGAGAGCAAATCCACAACATTTACAATTCGAGTACGACGTTGCGCCAGTAAATACAGCCAGCATCATCAGGCAGACAGACAGATTTGTGGATAAATCCTCCTGTTTCGTTCTTAAATAGAGGGATACGTGTGTAGTGTAGCAGCGCCAACTGGCGACTAGGGGTAGGAATTACGGGCGTATCCACCCAAAGGGAAGATCTGGGGCAAGGGTCGTAGAAGGGAAAATAAGTGGGCCAAAGGTCGTGGAAGGGATCCAGCTTGTGACTCCCAGAACCAGCTAGATGGTTCCAGAAGGGGGGCGTGGCCAGGGCATGGTCGGGCCCCGCAGGAAGGATAAAAGCGGATGAGAGAGGGAGCTCGAGGCTGTCCATGGGAATTGGGGTCGTCTCGTCGTTGCTGCTGTCCTCGTCATCGCTGTCGTCGCTGCCGTCTTTGTCATTGCTCGCCGTCGCCAAACGTTATCGTTATGTTATTTATGGGCAAATAGTTGTTCACTGTCCAGGAATGCATCATCTACTACTACTGCGTCAAAACGAGGAATTACCGGTGCCAATGTCAAAATGAAGACGACAACGAATCGATGAATCGCGCAGCTAAGGAGAATGCTAACATCCCCTGCATCGTGACCTCAACACCAGAAGCTGGCTTGCCAACGTCGAGATCCGAAGTGAATGGATAAGCTGTGAGAGCTGGACCGACAGAAGGGATGCTATCGCTCGCCACCTTGCGGACATCTGCCTGCCCCATTGCACTGCCGTCACCCGGCGGCTCGAATCTCGTTAGAGGCAGACCGAAATTCGGTTTCGGCTTTCGGCGCCAAAAGTTGGCAAATGGCCTCTTTCGGCATAGTTTCAGTTTTAGGAGAAAGTAAAAAAAAATTCTTTCGGTTTACTTTCGGTTTCGGTCGAAAGTATTTTTTTTTACTTTCGGTCTCGTTTCGTTTTTGGCCGAAACCAGAAATTCAGTTTTTGGTCGGCCTCTAAACTACACGCGCGCGCGTATGCGACTCCGGGCAGCAGTGGCGGTGGTTGATGGCAGACACTCCTCACTCTCTCCGGCGATCGCAAGCAGCGCAGGGGTGAGAGGGTTGTGGTGGTGGGGGCAGAGCCGTTACAGCCACTAAGCAACCCTTGCAATTGCAAAGGGCCCCGTGGCCAGCAGAGGGCCCCCTAGAGTCACTGCTAGCTAGTGGGTGAAAAAAAATCATACATCAAAGGGGCCTCCAACAAAATTTTGCTTAGGGCCCCCAAAGGTCTAGGGCCGGTTCTGGGTGGGGGGGATAACTAGCGAGCAGCAGCAGCAAGCAGCATACACGTAGCCAGCACTCGCAGCAGCAGCAGTCCACCAGGAGCACTTTTGTTTGAGCGGCTCAGAGGCTGGGCTCTCACGGGCAGCTCGAGGCACGCACCACACACACACACAAGTGGGGGCACGCACAGCGCACAGACGCGCGCACGCACAGCACACTGAGCAGATTATAGCAGCGTGCTGATGCCAACAGTGTGCATACGCGCGCGCACACTCACTCACTCATCTGCCTACCAGCCACACACACACACCAACCCACCCACCCCTCAAATGATCCAATTCAACCCTCCCACCACCCCATCCCACCCCACCTCCTCCTCCTCCACATGGGTTCCACACAGCAGGAGGGGGCTTGGGTGTGCGTGCGTGTGAGTCTGTGACACGTCTGGAGGCCGACCGAATCGGGTTTCAGTTTCGGCGCCGAAAGTTGGCAAATGGCCTCTTTCGGCAGAGTTTCTGTTTCTGCCGAAGCCAAAAAGTTAACTTTCGGTTTACTTTCGGTTTCGGCCGAAAGTAAATTTTTAACTTTCGGTTTCGGCCGAAACAAGAAACTCAGTTTCGGTCGGCCTCTAAGTCTCGTGCTCGGGGGAGGACGGGGGGCAGGGGGGGAGTGTGAGGTGCGTGGGTCGACTCGTCACACCGGGAGCCGAGCGACCAACGGGCTTCATCTCAACCGTGCGGGACGACGTGCCTGGAAGCAGCCCAGTAAGTGAGGCCCCTTCATAGGGGTGCCTCTTAGCAAAACCCCCAAAGAGAGTTTCCTTCATGCGGGGGGCTCTTAACAAAGCCCCCACACAAGCCCTCCCCCCGACTCCCTTTAACTTCCTATCATCCCCAAGTCTCCACAAAGGCCAATCTGTTAAACTAAACTACAATTTTTGTTGTGTGTTTTAGCAGGTAAGGCCCCACTGAGCTACATAGCTCTTTTTCAGGAAGCGATCTGGCTACCACAAAATGATAGGTCGACACGCCCCGGCTTCAATGCAGCACGGTTCCCGTGTGCCCCAGCTCCCCTTGCATCACGGCTCCCATGCACCACGGCTCCCGTGCACCCCAGCTCCCCTTGCATCACGGATCCCATGTTCCCCGGCTACCTACGCACCACGACTACCCACGCACCTGTATCGCGTTCTCCTGCAGGTTCAGGTAGCGTGTGTTGCTGGACACCCCCTCCGGGACCTCCCGCAGTGACCTCCGCGTGCACTGGACCTTGCTGAACTGCTGGCTGCACGAGCACATGGCCGGGCACATCGGCTGGCCGGAGCCCACTCCCGTCGCGCCCCCCACCCCGGGTCCCCCAGGCACCCCGAAGCCTTCTTGCTGAGCCGCTGACATTGCCGGCAGCATCGCGACGCAGGCAATGAGGGTGATGATGACCCCCCACCTTGAACGTGTGGATGATGATGATGATAATGACGGTTGTGGTGATGATGATCGTCGAGGGCGAGCTGCCCTCCTGTCTCCAGGGGCAGAGGCCCCGTGTGTGAGGAGAGGCGGGAGGGCCCTCTGGGCAGTGGGGCCCGTGGCTCCGGGTTCAGCCCTGATGGCCCACGGGCCCGACAGGCCTCGGCAGCTGTCACGATCCCCCTGCTGATGATGATGATGATGCTTCAGCTTTTGCTGCCTTTCCGGCTGCTGCTGATGATGATGCCGATGATGACAAAGCTGAATTTGCTCCTCCTGCTCAAGATGATGACGCGCGCGTGCGGGCTGCTCTTGCCGAGGCTGCCAACGGCGTTGTCCTTCAAACGGAGTCGCCCATTGGCTTGACACCCGACGGCCGTCTACGCGCCCACGTGGCCTCCTGGACCGCCGCGAAGCTTTCAACCGCTGCCCCTGATGGCAGCGTTGTTTCAATCGTCGCAGTCGCCGCTGATGTCGGTGCAGATGCTGCTGCTGCTCCAGTGGTTGGTCAGCCTGCTGCACCCGACACCGTTGACTCAGCAGCCGAGGCCGGTAGCGCTGCCGCAAGTGACGGGTCCAGTCCCGGGCCTTTAACCGTCTCAGCTGCTGCAGTGGCCACGGCCGCCGCCGCCACCACAGGTGCGACCAAGGCAGCGCGAGCGGCGCCCCCGTCGGGCAGAGGCGTCGACGGGGATTGGCGGGGGTTGGCCGCGACCACGCGCCGACGTCACTGGCCCACAAGCTCCTCCTCCCGCCGACGTCATGGGCCCGCAAACTCCTCCCACTGACGTCACGGTCCCGCAAACTTCTCCCGCCGACGACGACGACGACGTCGCGGGCCCGCGAGCTGCTCTCGCCGACGTCACGGGCTTTCGAATTCCTCCCGTCGACGTCACGAGTCGGCGAGCTCCCGTCGACGTCACGATTCAGCGAGCTCCTCCTGCTGACGTCACGAGCACGCCAAGTGCTCCTCTCGCCGACGTCACAACAATGCGAGCTGCTCCTTTTGGTGACGTCACGAGCCTGCAAGCTCCTCCTCCTGCTGACGTCACGAGTCTGCGAGGTCCTCTTGCTGTGTGCGGCCCGAGGCATCATCTCCGGCACAGCGCATTATCCTCGCGGGGGAGGCCAGTTCCCGCCGCCCCGCGGGCCCACGAGGCTCGGGGGACCCAGTGTCTCCCCCTTCCCTCCCTCCCTCCTTCCCCCACTACTCCTCCTCCTCTTCAAAGCCTGCGGGAGACGGAATAGAAACGGGCATATGGGCACAAATAGTCAAGAAACGTCCAATCAGTGGTAACAGATTAACGATTTAGGAATCCATTACAACGTTCGCGATGCTCGCATCTAATTATTTTGTATGCGTCGTATGCGGATGATGCGCAGTGACACACTCGGAGTAATTGGAAAGAAAGAGACGCGCAAAACAAGGCGGTGCAAATAAACAAAACGCACGCGCGCGCGCGCGCACACAGACACACAAAATACATAAATGAGACAGCAAATGAATGGGCACTCTCCGAGTCGAATTCTAGCCGCCGCACCGTGACGGCGTTCATGGAGGAAGGACGGGCGGCAAGAAGGCGGCGTTGATAGGGGGGCCATGAGCCCAGAATATCTCGTCGTCGGTACCACCCGAGGTGGCATCAATTTTACCGGTGGCATTACATTTGAATTTGTTAACGAGGCCAATAACAGTGAATGACGTGATAACAACGGGAGATGGGTGGGGCTATCACGTGATTTACTCTTATGAGCCACACGCATTAATGGTTACGGGTAGAGTTTTACTACCTTAGACTTCTGTTCTGGCCCATGGTTCTCTGAGCGGAGCTGATGGGGGCAGGGGTGTGGGGGGATGGGGGTGGAGCTGATGGGGGGAGAGGTGTGAGTGGAGGGGGGGAGGGCTGTATACGACGTTTAGCTGGTAGCTACAACCAGCATCATTGGGGAGGTGTCAGAATTTTTACAACTGCTTAGGATTGCTCTCCAACGTTACCGGGGTGCTGAAAGCAGTAGCAAATTAGCACAACTGTTCACATGACAACTTCATTTGTTTTGCTGTGTCGGGTGGGGGAGGGTGTACGACACACAGTTTACTATCACGCGACCTGACCTAACCCAAACATCAATTATGAAATGTAACATTGGTCGCGAAAGCCTACACGCCATGGTGGCGGGATGTTAACTACCTCGCCGGGCAATGGCGGAGCCAGGATTTTCAAGTAGTGGGGCAACCCCTTCAGCAGTAAGGACTTATCCCTTGCTTTTTATTCGACGCGTGTGCGGCGATGGCGCAGCCATCGATCGAGGGTAGAATTCGAACTGTGTGTGATTGGCATCGCGCTCGCTGAAGGTGAATGCCTTCAGGGAAGTCGTGTACTGTATATGCAACTCCGCACAATTCTGTGAGTCACTTATAACCGCTTTGCCGTTACTTATTGCCAATTATGGACTCAGACTATTGTCCTATCATCTCATAGAGTCCCTGGCACGTAATAATATGCTGCACAGTGGCAGTGGTGGTCGCAAAATGCCGATTTATTATTAATAAACCCAAATGATCCGATCGAAATGAGTGTCGTCGGGTATACAAGAGGTCGTGTGTTCGATCCCGACCCTGACGCCTGCTGCTGTATATTTGGAGTTTGCGTGTCTTTCTCTCTCCCAGTGGTCACGGGGTATTCTTCTCTGGGTCCTCTAGTTTTTTCCCTCCACATTTAGAATCAACATCACGCGTTTAGAGCATTTGGGCTATACATTTCCACATGAACACATTCCTGCGGATGGAGCTGGTAGGAACGTTGGGTTGCTCGGTCAATGGCCAGGGTCAACGGCGGCGTGGTGTATTCCGCAAATATGGCCGACTGTGAGGGCGGGCACAAGCCGGCGTGAGTAGGTTAAACGTTGAGTTTTATAAGGGCACCACGGGGTGACCAGCCCCTCCCAACCCAGCCCCAACCCTCCCACCCCCACCCAGCCCACCCTCCCCACCAAGGCCCTCCCCACCCTCCACTCCCCACCCAGCCCCACCCATCCCACCCCCCACCCAGCCCCACCCAGCCCCTCCCTGCCCTCCCTTCTCCACCCAGCCCCACCCTTCCCATTTTTGGATGCACGACGGACGGACGGACACAATAATCCCCTGTGGGCTGGTGCAACCAGGAGGTTCCTACCAGTATAAGCCACTTTGTTGAGCTATCATTTGTGGCCAGGTCACTTCTGAAAAGAGCTACTATGCAGCTCAGTGGCCCTTACCCGATTAAAAAGAAAAGCACGGTTTGTAGTTTCCACTACACGGAGCGTCTTCCCGGCATCGAGCGTTAAGGATGTCGGTGCCTTGGGGGTCGAGAGAGATACCTATAACTTCGGCGCTGTGTGCGTACGAACCGGGTGTGCTGCTGCAGGAGCAACATCATCATCATCTGAGCGCGTGTACCACACAGCCAGGGCGCGTGCGCACGCACGAGACGAGTCGGAGCAAGTGATCCATCAGCGAGATTGGAAGCGAACGCCTGAACTTGGCAGAGCCAAACTTTCTAGGTCTCGCGATATGGATGACACGTGGCAGCCAGATTACGCTCTACCTTCTCCTCTCTCTCTCTCCTCTTAACTCTCTCTCGTCACGCACGTTCACTTACCACCCTCTCTCTCTCTCTCTGTCTCTACCTCTCACTTGTCTTGCAATCCTTCCTACATCTTTCATTCTCGCTCACTCATTATCGCTTGTTCCATCTCGTTTTTCACTCTCTATCTCCTCACTGCGCTTTTGATTCATTCCCTCTGTTTAGAACTGCTTTTTGTGTTTAGTTTGTTATTTCAGAGGCGAGCTGGCGACAAATGATAGCTCAACGAAGTGTCTTCAATATACAGGCATCATCAGGGTCGGAATCGAAGCCACAACTCCCAATACACAGGCATCATCAGGGTCGGAATCGAAGCCACAACTCCCAATACACAGGCATCATCAGGGTCGGAACGAAGCCACAACTCCCAATACCAGGCATCATCAGGGTCGGGATCGAAGCCACAACTCCCAATACACAGGCATCATCAGGGTCGGAATCGAAGCCACAACTCCCAATATACAGGCATCATCGGGGTCGGAATCGAAGCCACAACTCCCAATATACTGGCCATCATCAGGGTCGGAATCGAAGCCACAACTCCCAATATACAGGCATCATCAGGGTCGGGATCGAAGCCACAACTCCCAATACACAGGCATCATCAGGGTCGGGATCGAAGCCACAACTCCCAATATACAGGCATCATCAGGGTCGGGATCGAAGCCACAACTTCCAATACACAGGCATCATCGGGGTCGGGATCGAAGCCATAGCCTCTTGTATCCCAGGCGAGATAGTTACCATCTCGCCACCGTGGCGCGATCTGACCCATAAACCCAGACACCACTATAATGGACAATATGAAGATGGCCACGGCAATTGGCACGAACAAATTAATATGAGCCTGACAAATGGGCACGAGTAAACGCGTGACAAGGTGTACAAGCCAATCAGGACCGGTAGATTCCGTTCAATCAGGAGGAGGGAGAGGGTCTTTAAGCAGAACGGGGGACAGACTTCGATATCTTCTTGGTTCTTTCGCTAAAGTCACGTAGAAGGAAAATAATAAAATAATAAAATGAGTGAGCGAGAATGAAATAAAATAATAAAAACATAATATTTTACTATGTTTTATTTTTATTATTTTATTATTTTCCTTCTACGTGACTTTACCGAAAGAACCAAGAAGATGAATCCCTGCAGTCACGGAAGCTTTATGTCGAAAATTAGACTTCGATATCTTTTTCTGATAATTTTCAGAGGGGGGGCACTTGGAGGACACTTTCGCCGATGAGACATTTTGAGACCATCGTTGGGGTTTAACAGTAGCACGACGACGATGATGATGATGATGGGGGGTTATGGACGCACATCAGGGGGCCGCACTGAAGGCCACCAGAGAGGGGGGGGGGGGGGCAGTGGCCCACAGGGCCTCGCAATGAAGAAAACCGCCGCTAATGAATTGCCATTCTCCATCGCGCTCCCTCGACGTTTCCCTCCGCATGTTCTCGTCTCTCGATTGCGGCTCTCTCTCTCTCTGGCCCGTCTCTCTCTTTCTCTCTGCGTGTGATGCGTCTACTGCAATAATCGGGGCTGGCTCAGCGTCAAGACTCAGACGATCAATACATCCGGCGGGTGGGCGGGCGGCGGCAGGGGGGGGTGTAAGAGGGTGATGGGAAGTGTGCGAAGTAGGGGAATGGGGAGGGAGTAACAGCAGGGAGGGAGTTCACGGCGGCGGCGGTGGGGTTGAAGAGATGGTGATACGAGGAGTGCTAATGGTAGGGGGAGGAGAGAGATGTCTTTAGTTTGTTGTCCTGCCCCCGCACCTGCGTTTAGCGCGGTTGGGCTACGTACGGTGCGAAGTAAGTTCAACAAATACACATACAGGAGGGAGATGATTAATATTGTGAGATTAAACTATTCTTGTTCAAAACGATTTAATTAGTTTTACTTTACCAGGTAAGGCACCACTGAGCGAAGCATACAGCTCTTTTTCAGAAGCGACCTGGCCACAAATGATAGCTCAACGAGGTGGATTATCACGTGGAAATTTAGAGCAGCAAAAAAGCCTTAAACGCGTGACGTTGATTCTAAATGTGGAGGGAATAAATCGGAAGACCCGGAGAAAAATCTACGCGACCACGTGGAGAGAGAGAGAACATGCAAATATACAGCAGCAGGCGTCACGGTCGGGATCGAACCCACGACATCCTACATACCAGGCGAGGTCGTTAACACATTCCTGCGGAGGGAGCTGGTAGGAACGTTGGGTTGCTCGGTCAATGGCCAGGGTCAACGGCGGCGAAGTGTATTCCGCAAATATGCCCGACTGTGAGGGCGGGCACAAGCCGGCGTGAGTAGGTTAAACGTTGAGTTTTATAAGGGCACCACGGGGTGACCAGCCCCTCCCCACCCAGCCCACCCCTCCCACCCCCCACCCAGCCCCACCCTCCCCACCCAGTCCCTCCCCACCCTCCCCACCCAGCCCCTCACCACCCTCCCCACCCAGCCCCTCCCCACCCTCCCCACCCTCCCCACCCAGCCCCTCCCTCCCCACCCAGCCCCTCCCGAGACGACAGACGGACACAATAATCCCCTGTGGGCTGGTGGA